TCCTCACTCTTCCCTGGYTCTCCTTTCCTCCCACTCCACTCTCCCCGCTGCTTGTGCCTCCCGTGCCGAAGTCAGTTCGGTTTGCGCTGGAAAACACCYTTTTGGGCACCAAAATAAAAGAAAAAGAGGTGAGCGGCTGCTCAGAGGCGAAAGGTGTCGGGCTGCAGTTAGCAACCGCTGGAAACTCCCACGGAAGAAAGGAGAGGTCAGGAAGAGAAAACACCGCGGGAATAAATGGGGAATCGCTGTGAGATACGCGAGCAAATTACAGGGATTTAAGCGGCGAAGCTCTCACGCCAGCGAGATAAAGTGGCCGGGCAGCCTCCCGCTCCGCGAGCGCCGCTGGAAACCGGCTCCCCGCTTTGAAGGGTCCCAGTGTATTCAGGGAACTCTCCTCTGCTGGTCCTGAATGCCTTTTTTATATAAAGATAATACAACAACTTGGGTTTTCTCTTTTTTTTTTTTCTTTCTTTTTTTTTTAATCTTCTTTCCTATTCACGATTAAAAATGTGATAAATCAGGTTTTTGGCTCTGAATAACAATGGCTTGATTTAGATTTCCTAGTGAATCTATTCAAAAGTGAAACAAAGGCAGCCTTCAGAGGATACCTTACACCTCACCTGGACCGGGCACGTAAGGGCAATTCAGATAAAAATCTTGTTAGCAATTCAACAAGAAATAGAGGATTTTCTCTTTTCCCTGCTTCAGGCTTTATTTAAACTCTTTGTTCAAAAATGAACAGAGTGGAAGTCTGATTCTAATTTACAGATATAGTTTAGACGTCTAACTTTAAATTAGAAGATCACACAAGAAAACCATTTACACGTAAATGTTAAAACCAATACTTAATCTTTTTTTTTTACTTTATATTACATAAAGCCAAAATGAAACTAAATACATGTTAGCCAGCTTCATTCACAAACATTAGTCAAAATATACACATTACAAAAGTAAACCAAAAAAAAAAAAAAAAGAACTCTAAACTGGTGAAGGATTTCCTTTCTCTAAAATTTGTATTCTTAAAATCGTCATTTGCAATTGAATTGCAGCCGCTCTAAAAGAAGCTAAACAGGTAGGGTACTCCAAAACACATTTAAAACACTTCATGTTGTCTGGGGAGACGGATTTTCTTTTAAATGAGAATACTCTTCTGTCAAAGCAAAGCTCTGTTTCAGTTCAGCTAAATAATAAATAGATAATTAGCACTCAGACAAAAAAAGTCTGATTTAACCTTAGATAATATTGCGATCCTCAGACGGCCCCGCAATATTTTTATTCCCTTTGAAAGGCATTCCACTTTTTTTTTTTTTTTTTAATTATTATTATTTTTTTTCAGGTTAAAACCGACTCGACAGTGGGCAAAGTAATTCACAGAGTGGGATTTCTTGTTTTCTCGCTCCTTTTCGGACCGAGCCCTCGCGTTCGCGCGGGGACACAGGCACGGAGGGCCCGGGCTCGGCTCCTCCCGCCGGCCGCGGCTCCCGCGCGCGCTCCACGTGCGCGGCGCGGCGCGGCGCGGCGGAGCCTCCGCGCGTTTCGGCGCAGCCCGGGACCCCCCAACCGCGCGGCGGCCCCGAGGGCGCCACGGGGAGAGCAGGGACGGGCGGCAGCGCGGGCGTCCCGCGGCTCTCAGGAACCAGCACTTTTGGGCGGCGGCGGAGGGGGTAACTCTTGTCCTTTTTTTTTTTTTTTTTTGTCTTTTTCTCCCCCTTTCTCCGCGTTTCTCCCGGCGGGGCTGTCCGCGAGGGCTGCATGCAACACACACAGAGGGTGCGGGGGCCGGGGCCGCCCGCCGCTCCGCTCGGCTCCGCCGGGCTCCGCTCGGTTCCCGTGGGCTCGGCGGGCGCAACAGGCGGCGGCGGCGCCGCTGGCCCCGCCGCGGTCATAGCGCGGCCGCGTAGGCGGCGGGGTAGGGGTCCAGCTGCGGCTTGCCCATGCCCGGCAGCAGGATGTAGGCGAGCGGCGGCTGCAGCCCCGCGCCGGGCCACGCGCTGCAGTTGCAGGGGATCATGTAGCCCGGGTTGCCGGGCGAGGGGTGCGAGTGCGTGTGGCCCCCGCCCGAGGCGGCGGCGGCCGCGGCGGCCGCGGCGGCGCCGTGGAAGGAGCCGGCGCCCGCGTAGCCCAGCGAGGAGGCGTAGGGCAGCGCGGCGCCCGACGACGCCGACGAGGAGATCTCGGCCATTTTGGAGCCCAGGTCCAGCAGCGAGTAGGGGCTGC